TGTATTCGCAAAAGGAGAAGGAAAGAGGCAAACTCAATCGAGGAACGTACGTGCACCTTTTTAGCACACTTCCTCCCCTCCCTCTCTTTCTCACTCTACGATGAAGACGAATTTATGCTGAAATTAATCCTGACAAAAAGCATAGCCCTATCGGAGTGTATTTTCCGAAATGGCGACACGACTGACATAATGGAGGGACGTGTAATACGAAAAAAAAAATGAATAAAATTAAGTTTGCCTCGTTAGACACCACGCTTAATTGGATTCGCTAATTTTACGTGAAATAAAATCGAGTTGACAAATATTACGGAGTCGATGCTAGGTAAGGAGTTTGCGGCCGCAGCTCGTATTCGTTTTGCCAGGATAATATTTCATTTGGACAGGTATTAGCGTCACTAGTCATTTAAAATTTTTGAATAGTACTTAGAATATTTATAGATATTTTTTTCTCTCTTTGCTATAGATATTTCGCAAGCTAAATCGACCGTATTCAGAATTTAAATCAGAGTCTTCGTCTGTAAATACGATGGGAAACCCAACTGTCGCCGCGATTTCGGCGAGTTATATACCGAAAGGAATAATTAAATAAAGCCGAATCCGCGACTCGGAAAGATAAACTCTTCTCGGCTTAGCAAATAGAACGACGGGAACCCCACGTGATCCAAGATCAAACCCGAAGGAAACCCTCCTTCACGAAATTACTTGCCGTGTACAGCGGCTATTCGTTCGCATTACTTGACCGTTCTGAGATTTATCATATAGAAAAATTCGCAAATATTTGTGTAAAACGTTAAGGATCAGAAATATTGAACCTAAAATGTAAATCGTTTCATAAATTTTTTAAAGACTAATGTCGACTATCATTATCGCAACATTGTTTTCTGCATTAAATGTTAAAAATTAATCTTTACAGGAAAACCACTTTTAAAACAAGGAATATAATGAAAAATAATGAATTATAACAAATCTTATTTAAGAAAAAACTGTAAGATTTTAGAAAAGCTTCATTTTTTTAAAAGTTTAAGTTAGTGTTTAATTAAGCGAAATATTTCCATTATTAAACTAATTGCTTAAATGATTTTAAATGCTTATAAAAGTATCTTTTATAACTAATGTATCAATTATTAAATATTTGATTGATTGACAAACGTCATACTATGTATTATTAACATATTATTAATGTGTTAATTATTGAATGAAAGTCATTAAAACATTTCTTGAAAGCTATATTTAAGGGATGTCATTTTTGAGGTTTGAAAAAATCGAAAATTATTTTTTTGTTTAAATTTATACTTTATATTCTTAAAGAATAATATTTCAATAGTTTTAAGCTGGTATCTCAACCGTATAATCCCGTTAGAGCCAATATCTTGCATCGTCTCACCTTTCTCCGCTGAAGCTATGAATGGCGCACAGTGGGGAAAAAATGAGAAATCGTTTCAAAATTGTCTAGATTCTTCAAATTTCAACTGATTTTAATGATTTTTTTTTAAAGTCTACTTAATTTCGAAAAAGGTTGCCGAGATCGATCTTTATATTAGGCTTTTTTTAAAGTAGTAGACAAAACTATGCGAGAAAAATGAGAAATCATGTTTTAAAATTATCGGGAGCTTTTAAATTTTAACCGATTTCAATATTTTTTTTTTAAATTAAAGCTTATTCAATTTCGAAAAAGTTGATATGGTAAATTTTTGAGTTAGGTTTTTTTTTTTCAAAATGGCAGACATAAAATAGCAGCTAAAAGATAGAAAGCATTTACAATGTTAACCTGATTTGTATTAAAATTCATTATTATAAATCCAATATGGCTGCCATATGAACAATAAAAAAAATTAGAAATATGAATAAATCTATCATTGTAAATCGATTTCCACTAGATTTTTATGTGAATACATATGTTTAAGGTCATTAATTGTGAATTATTTGCAATAATTAAGAAATTCAAAATGACGAATGAAGTATGGCAGATGCCAAAATTGAAAGATTATTTAATTTTTGATGAAAATCATTAAAAGATTTTTTAGGTCGCTGGATATAGACCTTAAGTCAAAATTGTAAAATTCAAAACGGTTCAAAATGGCAAATGTCAACATTAAAAATAATTTTCTTTTTGTGAAAAATCATGTATCACAATTTTTAATATCGCTGTTTATTTGTATGAGTATCCTCGGCAATTATATTTATCCCCTTTCGCAAATACTCGTATAATTATATTTTCCTTATACAGCGTTTTTTACACAAAGTCAAGAAAGTCTATTATGATAATTATAATGAATTTTGCAATTTTAATATTAGTTCTGTAATCCGTGACAATCAGTGACATCTGAATCTGTAACATTAGAAACATATATCTAATTTAATACAAATCAAATTAACATTGTACATAATTTCTGTCTTTTAGCTGCCATTTTATGTTTGTCATTTTAAATAAACAGCCTAATTAAAAAATTTGCTTTGATAACTTTTTTTCGAAATTGAATAAGCTTTTTTTTAAAATTTGAAAGCTCCCGACAATTTTGAAACGATTTCTCATTTTTCCCCATTGTGCAGCGTCACGTAGCAAATCTTCGCAGATAAAAGAGAACTTAAATTTCTAAAAAAAAAGTCACTACTAAAAAATTTAAATACATTTTTCTGAAAACGAGGTTTTCAAAGTCGATGTACACAATAATTTTACAATTCTTGACCAATTCACTTGAAATTTGCATTCTTAAATGTTTAATCTAGAGAAGCAAGATTTTTGCGATATATTGAAATATTTTTTTATTATTAACATTTAAAGATGGAAATTTTTAATCGAAAATGTTACTCTTGTTTAAACATTTACCATTTTTACAAAAATAAATATTTTAAAATAATCCTACGTACTTTTCTAACTTAAAGTATGTAGATAATAAAAACTTTGGATTTAATTTTAAGCCAAAAGGTGTAGGAAATTCTGTGCATATGCACTCACCAAAAAAGGAGGCTCGATGCTATTGATATAACGTCGCCATTTTGTATGATAAAAATTAAGACAAATTTTTTTCGTATTCTTGAAAGCTTATTTAGTATAGCCTTTAAAATCGATTTTTAATTGAGTTAATTGATTTACTACAAAAAATTAGGTATCATTTTTAGGCCTCAAGGGCATTCTCTCTTAATAATATGTTGAAATAATCCGCGTATCATTTATCAATATCGGAATGAAGCACGATATATTGCAATTTAAATAGTGCGTGATTATAATTAATAATCAGTGAATAGGACTTAATCGTAACTATATAGTGTCAAATTGATACTGTATAGCGTCAAATATAACCATTGTTTTAGATGAAATATAATTGAGTAGGAACAATAGTACATTAGGTTAAATTTGACACTGTAGATTTAACAGTATGCTGTTGCTTTGGAGCTTCGATTGAAACCTGTATTTATATAGAAGAGCGCTATTTCTTATCGATGGACCTCATAAAGCGATCGTGTCTTTATGTTTATCGTTCTTGCTCTTTGAAAACTCGATTCTACCTGAACCGTAACATGAGCTTTTATAAGAACAAATGAAACAAAGATGTCAAAGCTTGCTCATTTTTTTATGTCGTGGAATTTAACAGTGAAAATTAATTCCGCATCTTTACAGTTACTGCTAGGAAGAAGATAATTTGGAATTCAGACACTAAGAATTAATTTTAATATTATCATGTTACTAAAATGGAAATAAACTTTTTCTGAAAATAATTTTTATCATATTAGATATACCTTTTATATAAAATTGTAATTAGCAGAATGATAAGAGTGAAAGTTTCAAGCTTGAAACAAAACTGTTTTCAGATTCGCAATCCTAATACTTATTGTGACAATTGTCGGACGTGTACGGGTGAATGTTCCCAGAAGTGTTCCCGGCGTTAGCTAATCTTCATCTCGAAATACCACAAGGAATTGCAATTCTTTTTAGGGCGTTAACCCTGTCTTAAGTCGTCCGAGTCTTAAACCACGTACGTTTATTAATTGACCCAAAAACTGGTGCAAATGCGATAAATAATGAAATAACTACTTTTTCCTCGTTATTAAGGTGATAAAATAATTATTTTTGTCTGATTCTTTTAGATATTTGGTTTTTACTAAAAAATTTACAAATGCTTTTGATAAATCATTTTATTCTCTTGTAGTTAGTAATTAAAAAGTGCCATTATAACATTTAAAATATGTTTTATTGTTAATTATATTTTATTATCTATTATATAAAATTTTATAAATAACGTTTATATTTCTGACACATAAATTTTGATTAGTTTTATTTATGTAATTGTTTTAAGCATCTTCATGTTATTATGTAGTTGTAGAATAATTTTTTAATTACATAAATAAAGAAATTAATTGCGGTAACTGATATACTTGCTACTTATCAATTATTTAGATTTAATGCACTGACACTTATTCTTTTATTAATTTCACAAAACATTGTTTACTTTCTTTTTCAATATTCCCTACAAACGGTTTTACCTATCAATCTGGTTGTTTCGCAGCCGACTGTCCCATTGAAATCTCCAAGGATTTGAAAACGAGAGAAAAACGGTCTACTAAATGATTTTTCCTATCTTCGTGACGATAAGAACGAAACGCGGATCAGCGAACTCACTGTGGTATCAGCGCCATATATCTGAACTAAAACACTTGCCGCGTTAATTTCTCCATTCCCAACGGGTTAGTCAACTCACAATCGAATGGACCATCGAGTGAACCATTGAAGAGAATACGTTAAGGGTAATCCATTAGGATTAAAGGTATCTGATCAATCTGGAATATGCCGATCTTTTAGTTGATGATCTCTTAGGTAGACTTGTGAACTAAATTATGTGCCGAGAAACAATCTGAGAATCGTATTGCAATCTTCTGCTGACATTAACTCTTTATCTTTCACTTAATCTTGAACTGTTTTGTAATCGGCGGTTTTGTAATTGATTTCAGTAACACTCTTCAATGCGAGAGCGAAAAAATTATCCTACAACATCGAGGAATACCTCGAGGATTACGTTGTCTGTACGAGTGTTAGCCCTTGATCTTCCACCTGGTCTTAAATCCCGGGGCATTAATCGGCTGTCGTTTCATTCCCGAGTGTCTCGTTCGGATTTCACAGTGATGCGAGAAACGGAGAGAGTGAGCGAAGAAGAAAAGCGGAGGTATTACACGGCCGACGTTTGTCACAATTTTGCCACAAGTTTCTTTTTTGGCGGGAATGAGTAAAGCCACGAGGGTAGGAGCCTGCCGAAGATGTAAGTAAACTACCCTTTTTTTCTGCGAGCCGGCACACGCGTTATCTCCCGTTCTCCCGGCTCGCGAGACGAGAGAGCACTGCGTGCTCCTCTGAAAGCAACCCCTGATTCGAAGCAACGATCCTCCCCCGCTACCCTTGCTCCTGAACTACCGCTGCTCCTCCCTCTCGCTCTCCGTCCTTTTTCTCTCGAGCTTTCTGTCGCCTTTGCAGCTTGCCACTCCATATCTGTTTCTCTCTTCTTTCTCCTTTCCTTTCGTATCTCTTATATCTCTCTCAGAATTCTATCTCAACTCTGTCTCTACTGCCTATCTTGCTCTATCTTCGCATTTCGTCTTTCTCTTATATCTCGTTTGATGCTCTCTTCTTGCTCATAAGATCCCCTTCCCGAGACACTATCGTCTTCGACGTACACTCAATTTCGGGTAACTTCAAGCTGTCCCTCAATGACAGCGAGAATTGGCCGATCGCCAATTTTTTTACACGAAAATGAGTTTTCTTAGTATCGTCCTCGCATACGTGCGGTTTTACTACTTAATCGAGACTTTGTTCATGTCTTTACAAATACCTTGTTAATTTGAAATATGTGAACACGGATCTTTTCTGAAATATATTAGCCAACGCACATTGTGTTTGCTTCAGCATCTTTGTATATAATATATAATACTAGTGGTGTGGAAAAAAATATTGTGACAAAATGCTTTAAAAAAGTTACAGAAATGAAAATAAAATATAATGCCAATATAAACCGATACCGATCATTCATGTGTAATAAAAAAATGTATTTTAAATAACAAAATACAGATGTTTAATGTTTTGATAATGGATCTAATATCAAGGGTTGAAGCATCTGTTTATTATTTAATATATTTATATGCGTTTTTATTAATATAACATCATTAGTATCCAGGAATAGAGATATAGTTGTGTAACTAGTTCTAAAATGAATTTTACTTAGGATTGCTGTCCATCCCTAAAAATATAGGGATCGCCGCTATACTTTCCATAAAAGCATTTAGTATCCTGCGAATCTCTTCGCGCAGGCATAAAATAAATCTAAACCTATGTGAATTTGTACCTGTGTGACCTATATGCCAACAAGAATATTTTTTCTGTAATTCTGTATATAATTCTCTAATTGAAGAAAACAACGAAGAAAATATGCTATAATTGTGACAGCTCGGTATCTTCGTGAACAAAAATGAAATGCTCTAAATGTAAGAAACGTATGCATGTGTTCCCACAACCCTCTCTGCATGAAATGCTTTTCTGAAGTCTGATACATTAGAAAATTTTATACAATTTTTCTAATATATGAGATATTTTGATATTTTTGATATTTTTTCTAAAAAGTTTATATTTTCTAACAAAAATTTATAAACATTTTCAATGGACTTTCCATATGATTCACGTTTTATCCCTCCTTAAAATTATTTATTTTCAACATCGGATGAAAAATAGGTCGTTGGAAAAAAAAATCAAAAGACCATATTTCAGTATTATCTTTTCTCTTCAAAGTACAATTTCTGAATTCTGATTAATTAAAAACAAAATAATGATCATTAAAAAAAAACGTCATTTTTCCAACGCAGGATTTTTGTTGAATGGATTTTTGACTAATATAATATAATATGTTTTTCGACATTTACATTAAAAAAACAAAGTTATTTCTTATCCTTTTTCCTCCAAATTAAAAAAGAATACGTCAAATTATCTTTATTGTAAGAAGAGTTATAAACCTCCAAAGTTATGTTGACATCTACAGAATGTTAAGCCTATTTTTAAATATTTATAAAAGGGTAAATTTTATTTATATATTTTTTTTACTATAATTTTTATGAAGATTATAAAATATTATAAACTTTATGATTGAAGAATTGCTTGACAAATATTGTAACAATAATAAATCGTTAAATTTTCCTTTGAGCGTTAAAATATTTTAATATTATAATAATTATATATAGTTTGCTAATTTTGTCATACGTATTCTAATACATTGCACCATGTAAAATCAATAGCAAGTTAATAAATTTTATTATTTTGACAATGTAAAATTTATTACAGTTATAAACGAGATCAGACAAAGAGCAACGAGGAAGTGCATTGTATTTCAGTTGTTGTATTTAACTCAAAGTATTTAATGCGCGTTGTACCGCGAACATTTCGCATAACGACTTCGGCGAAATTTTTATATATGTATGATGTTTTACACGTTTCAACACTCGTATATGAACAATGCGCTTACATATCGTTTCCGTGACGTCACTTACAGTACTTTACAAGCGGGTGCCAACGCATTTCACCCTATGACTAAATCCCATCCCAGTGCAACAGCGACATATATAGCGAATTTCTCGGTAGAATAATTCTACACGTATATACATATATCACAGTAATAAACGCGTAAAAGCCGGAATTATACGACGATCAAGTATAACAATTAAAATAATTAGACGATTTCATATAATAAAATAAAAGCTCTAAAAGTTAAATAGTTTGTTAGTACATGGCTAATAAGTTTTTATAATTGTATTTTTTTAAGGAAATTAAATTAAGTAGTTTAAAGATAAAAAAAGTTTAGACGAAATAACTTTTATCCAAGCAAATATCAATTTATAAAATAAATACGTCATATAATAAGTTGAAACGTTAAAATTTGTCGATGTGATTAATGAAAAATAAATATTATACGGACAAAATTTATTATTATTTTCATCACGCTAATTAAATTAATTAATTCGAGAGGTGGAACATACTTCATCTACTTGCAACGTTAGACTTGTTCAAACAATACAGTTTTTATATAAATATAAATTTTGACAGTGTGCAGCTTTCGTAAATTTATAAGGTAGTGTTATACATATTCTTGATTGAGAGATGGACGTATTGGAAAAAAGTCAACACTCGCCATATGAGTTAACGAAGCGTAAATCCATAGAATTCGTTCCGAACAATTTAGGTATGCAATTTATGCTTGATTTCACCGCGTTGTGCCTTGTTGTCGTAGCGTGCATTGAGAGATATTATAATAGATGTACATTGTTGTCAACTTTTTATATTAAATGGATGTTTCCCTCCGTTTTATTGATTTATTTAACAAATATTTGGCATTTATTCTAATGGATTATTTTTATTATGCAATGTAAATTCATTTTTATATGAAGATTACTTACGATAAGATTTCTTTTCTAATGTATGAATAAATCAAGATACTATACTTTTGACTTGTAAGATATAACTTCTTTTCTAGTTCAGAGAGTTACAATTTATTGTTAAATTTTTAAGCATGGCGTATTCATATTTTATAATCTATTTTCATAATTGTTTGTGTAAATATTTTGTAAAACTAAAAAGACTACACAATAGAGAAATATAATATCACTTGGTTTATACACAGGAGATCAAGCCGATCGTCATAGTTTTTAATTAGTGATTTAAAAAAAAAATGGATGCCTGATTTTGAAATATTATATACGTTATAATATTTACTTACATCCTTTAGATATTAAAAGAATATTACTTGGATTCATCATATAGTAAAAATAAGTTATTTAATTGTGAATCAAGCTGCGAAAATATAACAATTATTTCCGCATTCTGGATTGATTGTTACACGTTTTAGGATTGGCAATAGCCAATATATTTGTTACGGACAATATGTATAAAAAATACAATTTTTATTTTAATGCCAGTTCTAGATTTTAAGAAATAATAGTAATAAATAATAGTAATAATACAAGTAAAATAGTGTTATTTTAATCATAAAATACGTAATTTTTGTTTTTGTATTACAGTTTCTATACGAAAAATGAAAAACATATATACCTATATGAAATATATTTGTATCTCTAAAAATGTGTCGATCTAAAGATATTGCCATCCTTTCTCATTTTGATCGATCTATCCCACGTAGCCATTTTTAATAAAAGAGATTGTATTCACAAACTTTGTCAGGATAATGATTAATTAATTGTAGCAAAGATTTTCTAAGACATGTCATTTCTCTATGAATACAGAAATATCGCGATTAATAATACCAAAGACTTGTTAGATAACAAAATAGATGATAAGGAAAATTTACTCACCATTTTCTTAAAAGTCATTATAAATAATACATACAATGCTTTTGATGCAAATCATTTTATATAACAAATTAATATTATATTTAGAGATGCACCGAATATCCAAAAAGTATTATCCGACACTTTTTTACTATCCGACCGGATAGTCGTCATTAGTATCCGGGAATATATCTAGTTGAAAATTTATATCATTAAATTGTTAATTTTTTATTATATGTATAAATGTTCTATAAATAAGTATGCATACTCATAATGTTATAATATCTTATATTGTTTGAAAATTATCATTTTTTTTCTGCAGTTATAATGTCTATTGATAATCGAACTCGGACGATAACATTAAAATCATAATTATTATCACTGTTTTTTCCTTACAGTTCCTTCTTCTTTTTACTTCCTTTTTTTTATTCAGTTTTTATATAGACATTTTATTTTTGTCCCGGAATCCGGTCGGATATCTGATCGGATATCGGATATCCGATATCTGATATCTGATAATTTTACGACCCAGTGTATTCCTAATTATATTAGCAATAAAAAAAAGGGACTTTTCTGCCATAACCTGTTTGAATTATAAGCATTTTGACAATAAATTTCGTACGACAACCAGTTCCGGTCCTCCCTAAAACATTTATTTTTAACAAAAATTGATACAAAATTAATATATAATTTATTATCAAAGTCTAAAAATTGTATAATTAAATAATATACTAACATTTTATACGCTATCTTATAGGTACTATTAAAGGAAGATAAAAATCTGTAATATTTTGGGTATTTGTATATATTATTGGGTATTGTACATAATCATCAAAACAACTTTAAGAAAATTAATAATATACGATAAGAAATTTTTTTAAAATTAATTTTTATTGAGAAGAACATATCGATAAATTCGATATATAGAACAAAAACTGACAAAATTGGTAGGAAATTAACAGTCCTCCGAACGTGTCATATAAC